TCCAAGTAGCCGGAATTACAGGCATGCGCTACCACGCCCAGCTGATTTTTTTTTTTATTAATTGTAGAGACGAGGTCTTGCCAAGTTGACCAGATTGGTCTCAAAACCCTGGTCTCGGGCAATTCTCTTGCCTCAGCCTCCCAAAGTGCTGGAATTATGGACTTGAGTCACCATGTCTGGCACATATCTTATTTTTAAATTATGGATATGTATATCTTGTATAAAACACATAATTCAGCCGGGCTCGGTGGCCCAGCCTGTAATCCTGCGCCTTTGGGAGGCTGAGGTGAGTGGATTGCCTGAGCCCGCGGGTTCGAGACCCGCCTGGGCAACTTGGTGAGATCTCATCTCTACAATAAAGCAAAAATTAGCCAGGTGTGGTAGCATGCGCTTGTAGTTCCAGCTATTGGAAGGCTGAGGCGGAAGGATCGCCGGAGCCCAGCATGTCGAGGCTGCGGTGGCCGGGAGCGGCCGCTGCACTCCAGTCTGGGCGACAGGGTGAGACTCCAACTCAAAAAACAAAGCAAAACAAAACAAAAACAAACAAAAAAACCCCACACATTTCAAACAATGTTAGGTAATATATCCAAAAGCTTTGGGTTCCTTAGAATTGTATTTTTATTTTATTTTATTTTATTTTTTTGAGTTGGAGTCTCGCCCTGTTGCCCAGACAGGAGTGCAGTGGCCGCTCCCGGCCACTGCAGTGTCAACCTGCTGGGCTCTGGTGATCCTTCCACCTCAGCCTTCCAAGTAGCTGGAACTACAGGCGCACGCTACCATGCCCGGCTAGTTTTTGATTTATTGTAGGGATGAGGTCTCGCCAAGTTGCCCAGGCAGGTCTCAAACCCGTGGGCTCAGGCAATCCACTCACTTCAGCCTCTCAAGCGCGGGATTACAGGCTAAGCCACCGAGCCCGGCTTAGGTTTGTATTTTTTAAAAACACCTATAAGCTGGGCATGGTGGCTCAGACCTGTAATCCCAGCACTTTGGGAGGTGGAGGGGAGAGGACTGCCTGAGCCTAAGGGTTCGAGAGCAGCCTGGGCAACTTGGTGAGACCTCGTCTCTACAACAAATCAAAAACTTAGCCGGTTGTGGTGGTGCACACCAGTAGTTCCAACTACTTGGAAGGCTGAGGCAGAAGGATTGTCTGTGCCCAGTAGGTCAAGGCTGTGGTGGCCATAAGCGTGCCACTGCACTCTAGCCTGGGCAACAGAGCGAGATTCCGACTCAAAAAAGAAAAAAAAAACCTTTAAAAAGCCAGTTCCCTGTCACAGGAGTTAGAGGCAGTCCTTTGACACTCTCCTCTGGAGCCCATTAGCTGCTTCCTTCCCACTTTCTAAGGACTTGGTAGGAGCCATGGGAACCCCTACTCAAGCCCACAGGTCCCCTTCCTGACACCAGCTCACCTCTGTGCAGTATGGGGGCACATTGAGGATAAAAAGGGTACGCTTCTGAGGCCAGGTGGACTTGGTGCCTTCTCGAACGCTGTGTGCTCTCAAGTAGAGATAATGAGAAGCCTGCTGTTTTTCAGAGAACTTGATTGGAATAGCTGGAAGTGAAATTGGAGGGCAAAGGATAGTTAGGTTCAGGCCAACGTGAGCTGAGGCCAACTAGGCATTCACACGATTTCCTTTCTCTTCACGTCCCTTTCTAGTCCCATCTGTCTGTCCATTCGCTCATTCATCCATCACTGAGCCCTCTCCCTTGGCAAAGCCCGTGCAGGCCGTGAGAGTGAACAAACAAGAGAATCTGCCCAGAAGAAGCTCCCAAGTTAGTAGGGAGAGAGGATGGAAATGGGTAATTATTACAGATGGAGTACACAATGAGAAGGAAGCTCACACCTTGCTCTTGGAGTAAACACCAAAATCCTAACCATGGCTGAAGCCCCATCTGACCCTACCTGCCACCGCAGCCTCTTCCTGCTCCATCCTTCCCCTGCCACCCTGAATTCTCTGTTCCTCCAATAAATCAGGGGCTCACGCATGCACTCTACCTGGCACTCTACGCTCTTCCTTCCCCACAACCTCCAGGCTTGGCTCAAACTCCACTTCCTCACAAGAGCCTTACCATAGTCCCCACCCCTGGTGCAGGATTAGTCTATACTCTTTGGTTAATCGCTGGCATGCCTATAAATTCTAATACTCATAAAGCTAGGGACTGTTTGTTTTCCCCATCTTCCTCACAGTACAAGTGATAATGATGGGAAAAGACAATGAACATGCAAGCAAACACGCTTGCATCAAATATGAAAGAAACATGCAGGGTGATGGGGTGGCAGAGGGCTTCTTTCAATAGGCCATCAGGAATGGCCTCTTTGAGAAAGCTGCAATAAAGCTCGAAACAGAATGACACAGTGCAACAGTCAGGCACAGAGCTGCCTTAGGAAGAGGACAGCAGCAAATGCAAAAGACCCTAAGAGTGGAAAGAGCACGTGCCAGAGGAACAGAAAGAGCTTGAGGTCAGCACCAGCCAGAAGGGCCAAGCAGGTACGCAGTCTGGTTCTTGCTCTAGGAGCTACCTTGTAAAGCCACTGGAGGGAGATCAGTGGGTGTGGGAGTATCAGCGGGAGTGTGAGACATGATCTAATTTCCTAACTTTAGAAAGAACACTCTGGCCCCTGAGTGGAGAACAGAAGCAGGGTCAGGAATAGGAGGACCACCAACCAACCAAGTAAGGGGGCCCACAAGCGGCCAGGTGAGAGCTGATGGGGTTGGACTACGAACGGCAAAGGGGTGATGAGGAGATGGGCTCCACTGGGCGAGGAAGATGGAGGAGGCGAATTTGTCCTGGGCGAAGACTGTGGATAGAGGTGAGCTCACCCCAGCGAAGCGTGGACCAGGATGGGTCCACGCGCCCCGGAACAGCGCGAATAGGCGCCTCGTGAGTCCCTGGGCCTCGGGACTCGTACCCAACCGTGCGGCCGCTCCGGAGGCCCCGGCCACCGCCAACTAAGCCATCTCCCGGCGAAGCCTGACAGCCCCCGCGTTTTGCGTTCCAGAGCCCCTCACCTGAGTAGCCCGGGGGGCTCGGAATCCCCTCCTCAGCGTCCCGCGCCGCACGCTTTCTCCTGCGCGCCACCATTTTGACGGCCGGAAGCGCGGGGGCCGCTGGGAATTGTAGTTCCGCGCAGAGCGCGAGCTCGTTTCCATGACGACGGCGTCGCGTGGGTGCCCCGCCCTTTGGTTCCAGGCCCGCCTCCCCTCGCTCCTGACTCTCCAGGACCCAACCTTCATTTCCTCATAATAAAAGTAGCGAGCCGGGCTCGGTGGCTCAGCCCGTAATCCCGCGCCTTTGGGAGGCCGAGGTGAGTGGATTGCCCGAGCCCGAGGGTTCGAGACCCGCCTGGCCAACTTGGCGAGACCTCATCTCTGCAATAAATCAAAAATGAGCTGGGTGTGGCAGCGCGCGCCTGTAGTTCCAGCTACTCGGAAGGCTGAGGTGGGAGGATCACCGGAGTCCAGCAGGCGAGGCTGCGGTGGCTGGGAGCGGCCACTGCACT